TTAATCCCAGCACTCGGGAGGCAGAGGCAGGCGGATCTCTGTGAGTTCGAGGCCAGCCTGGGCTACAGAGTGAGTTCCAGGACAGCCAGGGCTACACAAAGAAACCCTGTCTCGAAAAACAAACAACCAACTGAACCTGCCCTGGAAAGGAGCAAGGCTCATGAGCCGTGCAGCTCCCTGTAGCTCCCTGGCGTGAGCAAGGCCGTGGGTTCACCCCTGGCACCCAGACCTCACCATAGCCTCACGTTTGTGTTTCCTCTGGTGTCTCGCCGCATGGTGGTGTCTCAGATGAGCCCTGGGAGAATACAGAAGGAGGCAGGAGGTTCCACAGCAGGGTGCTGGCCTGTGTCCTGAGCCTGGGCTCCATCCCTGGCACCAAAATCAGGACAGGCTGCCCGGGGAGGCCCTGCCCAGGAGCCTGAGCATGGATTCCCCGGGTGGACCCAGGGCAGCAGTGCTGAGGGTGACTCGGAGCCCTGTGCTCAGAAGGGAAGCAGCAGGTTTCTCATACTTGTGATACGGGGTGCTGAGTCTGAACCCCAGAAAAAGGAGGCAGGCCTGGAGGTCACAGCACCTCCATCTTCCTCATTCTCTCTTTTTGCTTCTCAGTCATTGTGACAGAAAAGACGAACATCCTCCTGCGGTACCTGCACCAGCAATGGGACAAAAAGGCAAGGTTCTTGGCAGGGGCTGGGGATGTTTGAGTGGGGCCGTGAGAGTTGAATAGGAGTTCTTCAGGTGGTCAGTACTGGGGAGAAGTATTCCAGTGGGCATGCTCTTGGGGTCCTAGTGCTTGGGAGACTGAGGAGGAACCCGGGGCATCCTCACTGCGCAGCGAGCACCCAGTCCCCAGCCAGGTCTCTAGTTTGGGGCATTTTACTGTAATGGTGAAATGTATGTGTGACAAAAAGCTCACCTCGCATGGGCCATGCCCGTCACCCTGCCCTCGGGAAGCTGGTGGGGGTGTTCGAGGTCAGCCAACTGTGCGAGACCATGACTCTGTGTTTTGAGACAGGTCTCATTGTGAGCCCAGGGTGGCCTTGTACTAACAGTGATCCTCCTGCATCTGACTCCCAAGTGATAGGCTACAGGCCTGTGCTACCTCAGCCAGCTGAGATACTGTGTAAACAGTACCTTGCAGGGTGTTCCCATGCGGCTGATGATCCGTAGACCTTTGAGAAAGGGTCATGGGCTGAGCGTGGTGGGGAGGATCTTGGGAGTGTGAGGCCAGCCTGGTTTATGTAGTTTCAGAACTGCCAGAGCTATGTAGAGAGAGACCGTCTCAAAAAACAGCCCCACAGGGAGGGAGAAAGGATGGTGCTGTCGGCTGCCCTCACTCCTGCCCTCACGCCTGCCCTCACTCCGGCCCTCACTCCTGCCCTCACTCCGGCCCTCACTCCTGCCTCTCCCCCACCCCTCCACCCCTCCAGAATGCCGCCAAGAAGCGAGACCAAGAGCAAGTAGAGGCAGAGGGCGAGAGCTCAGCGCCACCCCGCAAGGTGGCCAGGACTGACAGCCCTGACATGCCCGAGGACACCTAGACCCCACGCAGCGCCCCACGTCTGTCTGCTCTGTCCGCTCCCGCCCGCGTGTGTAAGCGCAGCCCCACACCCAGCCCGCGCCCTCCGACCTCCAACCTCATAGGACCCATGTATTTATTTTCCTTGAGTTTTTATTTATGCTGTAACTCGTGTCAAGCATTGGTTAAAGGGACATCAGGCCTAGCCGTGAGGTGTCGGTAGACGCTGTTTTAAAGCACAGTGGTGTCCCCCACCCGGCCACCCGCCAGAGACCACGTCAGGGTCCAGAGCCCAGGGCGGCCTGGTTTCCCTACACACCGAGCGGCCTTCGCGCTCCTTCCCACCCGCAGGCCGGCCGGGTCTCGGTGCCCGGGTCCTCCCGGGTGCTCCCCGTGCCCGGGCCTCACTCTGAGCCCACGCCAGGGCAGGAGAGAGCTGGCCTTTCTGGATCTTTCTCCTAAGTCATTTTATCATGGACTAGCCCGTGCTCCGCGTCCACCCCAATAAAAGGATCTTTCCTACTCCACCTGGCGTCTTTGGTCCACACCTCGGCTGGAGCCACTGGGACCCGAGTGGCTGGCGTGGGGCTGCCACACCTCCCTGCCCAGGGGTCCTTGGGGTCACGTTTCTTTGGGAGACAGAGCCCAGGTCAGAGCCATAGGGCACTGGACGTCATGTGGGAGGCTCAATGGGAGGCTCACCAGCCAGGCTGGGACCGGCAGCATTAATCCGGGGACACGGGGGGTGGGGGGGGCACGCTGTCCTGGGGGGCAGGGGAAGCTGCCTGGACTGGAGTGGCTGTGCGCCTCAGGTGTGGCATGGCACACACTGCAGGTGTGGGGCGTGGGCTTGTGGGGTTCCTGCACACGGGCCAAAGCGTCCACGTTCCCCAGGGTAGTTACCCGGCTGCGGCCCTACCGGCTCAGGCCGGTTCTGACCCCAGTAGCAGTTTAGCCTCCTAACAGTGACGACGGCACCACAGCCGCCCCGTCGACCCTTGTGTGCCCCGCCTCACTTTCACACACACTGGGGTTCCTGCCGCCCGCAGGCCGGGGTCCAGAGTCTGCCTTCCCAGACACTGCCTTCCCTCCCGTGCAGCCTCGAGTGCCACCTGGGGCTCCCGGTTCCCGCAGGCTGGCCAGGGCGACCTCTGGCCCAGGGCACAGCAGGCTGTTCCCGCTGCCCACCCTGCCTGGGCACCCACCCCCACGCGTGCTCCATCCCTGTGCCCCATCTGGGGCGTGGGGTGCCATGTGCGTGCAGCTGGACCCAGGCCCGAGACTGCCGCGCTGCGGGGTCCCCTGGGCCCTCTAGAGGCCTCATCCCGGGGGAACCGGGGTGCTCAGCCACCGGCTCCGGGTCCCCGGGCCCCCGGGTCCCTCCACCGCTCTGACCTCGAGCACTGTTGAAATAGACTTTATTGCATTTCTGCCGTTTTACAAAAATATGACAAAATAAATTAAAAACAAATAAATAACCGCCCGTCCTGTGTACTTTTCTGTACTGTGGGGTTCCGCGCGTGGCCCCCATCCTGGTCGAGGGGACGGCAGGGGCGTGGCGGGGCTAGTGGCGGGCTGCGGGCCAGCAGGCGGGC